AGCAGAGACCGGTCCACCGTGGATAGACCCAGATCCTCCAGCAGAGATCGGACCACTGTGGACAGACCCAGATCCGGGTTCACCTGCAGCCTTGGACCTGCAGTCGGAGCTCCGGAGGGAGGAGGTGAGCTCAGCTCCCAGCAGCAGCAGCAGCATCTCCTCCTCCTCTTCCTCTTCCTCCTCCTCCTCCTCCTCCTGCTCAGAGACACTACCACTTTAGTCCACAGGGACCAACAGAACCAACACTAAATGAAAGTTCCTCAAAGAAGCTTTCAGTGCATTTTGCTCGTAAAACTTTGATTACAAAACAACGTTGTCACAACCTGAACAGTTGTGATCTCCTGCGTGACCTCTGACCTCAGGACGCTCACAGTGAGGTTGAACTAACAGACTTCTCTGTTTTCATTGCAGTGAGGAGACTAGAGAGGCTCTGCTCAACTGGAGCAAACACGACGACGAGGCGGAGCGCTTCTGCGTGGTCGACGGTACTTTTTATAATCCATCAGAATGAAGGAAATCAAACAAGCTGTTGTGTGTTTGATCCCAAATATTAAAGTATCGTTAGCAACAAATGAAAAGCAGAGAGCTGCTGATCGACACGTCCTCCTTCAGGTTCATGTTTTCACAGAAGTAATCCTCCATCTTTCTTTTAGGTCTGTGATCAGAATACATTTAAGTTGAAGTTAAAAATAAAAATGATTTAGGGAACATGATGGTTGAACTGCACCATATTTAAATGAAAACAACCGGAAGACTTCAAATATAAATGGAGAATAGATACTTTTGTTGGGATTATGAAGGTAACAGTTCATACTTTTTAGGTGTTACAATTACAATAAATAAAAGTGTTTTGGAAACATAGTGTGAGAAACATGTTTAAGGAACATTATGAAAAGTATAATATACGATAAGGGAACATAATTTAAATAATATATAATGTTTTAAGGGAACATGAAGATCAAATACACATTTTTAGAAATATAACTGGCAAGAATACATAAGAGGGAAAACATAACTGAGTAAAAATGTTTTGAGAAGATTATATAAATTATCATTTTTAGGGAAACTGATGAAAAGTATATCAAATCATGAGGGAACATAATCAAAGGAATGTATAATGTATTTTTACAGAACATGGGGAAATATAAGTGATTATTTTATAAATGTATTCATATTGTATTTTTTATTATATTAAGTGTTTAAGGTATGTGAAGAGAAAATTGAGCTTATAATGTTAAGAATTTATAACTTTTAGAAAAACAACTGAAAGATTAAAAAGGAAAATGTTTTGCTAATATAATGTGTTATAATATAATGTGTTATAATATAATGTGTTATAATATAATGTGTTATAATGTAATGTAAGGAGTATTTTAAGGGACATGATTTAAACCAAAGAATGTATATTTTATGGTAATGTGTGAAACACAGATGCATTTCTTGGTGGGTTGTTGTTATTATTATTATTATTATTATTATTATTAACGCTACACAGGTCAGTCCTCCTGCTTCACTTCTCTCTAGCTGAGATCACACCTGGCTGATCAAACACAGGTGGTTTATTGTTGGAGACTAACAGCTGACTGAAGCCTTCTGTTCCCAGACGAGGCGTCTCCGGACTCGCAGCATGTCGACCTGCTGCTGAACCCGGAGCGCTTCACGGGCTACAGAGGACCAGAGGCCTGGCAGGTCTGGAACAGCATCTACGAGGAGAACTGCTTCAAGTAAACACTCACAGGGATACAGCATCACGGCTCAGATGAGAGGAGCTTATCTCCATACTGGTGCTTTCAGTCGGATTTTATGCAGGAATATTTTCACAGTGTTGTATTAGTACTTATACTGAAGTCAAAGGATCTGAATACTTCTTCCGATGTGGTGAAAAACAAACACAAGTCGCCACATTTAATGCATCTTTAATTCAAAGCCCTCAACAGTTAGTGCTGCTCATATCTGAGGAATAGAGGAAGCAGATGAATGAAGTAGATC